AGCAACATATGTATCATATTTGTGTATAAATATATTCTGTAAATTAATACAGTAATAATTTTAGAAGCAATAATTAAATAACACTGCATTTGGCATTTTCTACTTCCGAATAAAATGTCATGGGTCGTACGCCATTCGTTAATAATAAGAAACATACGAAAGCTTTTATAAAAACTTAAATTCTCAAATACTTTCTAAATGCACTTTTATATATATAGCCAATTTATATAATGCAATTACATTGTTTGTCTACGTAACTTATTGAAATTGCATCTATAAATTATTCACCAGTAAAACTAAAAACTCCAAACTAGCAAATTACCTTCTTCAATACACAAAATTCTATATAACCTCGATTATCCGGCACATTGTAAACGGTTGCCGGATAATCGGAATTATAATATTTTTTCGTGTGGCGGTACTTTTATGTTTATAAGATGTTTCGGATTAACATTTTTAAACCGTTTTATAAAGTAATTTTATGATTTAATAACTTAATTATTGAGTGTGTGATAAATACTCTTAAGTTAAAATTTAGGTTATATAAATTTAGAAATGTTAAACTTACTTCTTACATGGNCTCACAGCGAGTGAACAGGTGTTGATTTAGTTATAGTTTATTATTTTCTGCTGAGCACGCTTTGGGTTGTTTATATTGAAATTGTACCATTTCGTATCGTCCGATTATCGCGATAAATATGACAATAGTTGGCTGTAATAACCAAACTCTTTATATGGTTTTCGTTTTAATGTTCGTTACAGTTTAGTATTTTATTTATGTAACTACAAAGGTTATCTTAAATAAAGATTTATCACACCAAGTACCTGATCTAACACATTTTAAAAATTCTTTATTCCTCTACTGTACCAATTTAAAGAATTTTTAAAATGTGTTAGATTGGTCACTCGGTGTGATAAATCCTTACGTAAGATAACCTTCGTAGTTATGTAAATAAAATACTATAATGTAATATAACAATGGTTAGAAGTACGAAATAATCTAACAGAATATTTCATATTTCTAATCTTAACCTTTGGTAATGTTATTCTTTACCCGAGCAACGCCGGGCTCATCTGCTAGTTACAATTATATTTTGGTACCAAATTCTTATCCTTCTGACATTCCTACACACTAAAATTATCGATAAAACTGTATTCGAGACGAGACATACAGTACGTCTTAAATGTAAAAATGAAAAGGGTTTTAAATTACGGTAAATTGGCTTAAACAATATCAAGATTTAAATAAATTCCTCCCTATTCTGGACTTAGGGGTAGCCTCACGACTAGGCGCAGAATAGAGCGGAAAAATAATTATATGTAAAAGGTCTGGGAACTTGGGGACTTATATGTAAAAGGTCTGGGGTTCCCGCCCTGCGGGACGCTCCGAGGAGCGCATGCAGAACGAGATGGTGGGGGGCGTCTCTGAGGAGCGCGTTTCTCGAAGAGCCGAAAAGAATGTCTTTCCGACGGTTTCTCTGGACCGAGGGTTTTACATAATTAATTCTACATTTAAACCGTTTTAATATTATTCACTTTTGTAATTGTCTTATTTACAACGTATCAAATATTTTTATTTTTGATTTGTTCTGTACAGGCTTTATATGTCGACACATACAGTTATACATTATGTATTTTTGAAAGGATATTTATATTTAAAAAAACGTCAATTAAATTTTGTTTCTAAAAATATTTCAATTTATAAATTGATATTTTTAATGCAATTCAGACGAACCGATTACAATTTAACAATAACTATTGTGAGATACTAGAGACCTGGCTGTACTGATTAATTAGATTATTTTACTCTATCAACTTTAAATTATTTAATTATAGATGCGGATTAAAATTAAGTCGTATATTTTACTTTATTTCTTGCTCATTTACTTAGAAAAAACTATATTTAGATCTAGGTATGAAGTGCGACAGATTTACTTTGTCATTTTAAGAAGTCGATAAACTAAATGCGCTCTTAAGAGAAATTTTATTTCAAATTTAATAATTATTTTTAAAAAAATCTAAGGCAAAATCACAACTAATCGAAACAAATTTAACTCAAAGTGACTCAAAAGGCATTAAGTAAATTTAATGCTGTTTTTGCTTCTTTATTGCATGTTAATGAATTGAGTAACATCAGTTAGAATTACTCAAATATAACCAAACATCTGGAGATTTTAAAGTTGTAAGAAAATACATATAATATTGTTTATGTTAATAACAATTTTGATATATCCTTTCTAATTATCCTCTTACATTAATACGAAACTAATTTTATAACTGATTTGAATTTCTATTGTCTAATCTTTATTGGAAGCAAACTTATTATTATTCATTTATTTATTTAAAGAGTTTAAGTAGTAAACACATAGTAAGTTTAACTTAAACGATATGAAAAATTATTTCGTAAAGGGCATTAAGAATACCTGGCTCTGTTAATATACGGCAGAGGAAAACTATGGCGATCGGTCAAAAAATGACCACCCTCCCAGATTTTTACATTTTTGGATCCAGGAGACCTCGAAACGCCGAGAAATTCAAAAAAGTTTGGGATTTTTTTCTATATGCACGGCTGTTAATATGTTTGGGAGGTGAATTTGTGAAATTTTGCAAAGATGTTTGTGTATTGGAGATTAATGCTATTAAATTTTGGTGGTTAAAGGTCAAAGGAATGGGGAAATAAAGGGGGGTCGTATATCCAGTAGAGTCGACAATTTTACTCGTTATTAGCATAAACAATTTTTTTAAATAAAATTCGTCCCTACAAAATTAAGCTTTTTTCCTTTTTATAATAATTAAAAATATAACAAGTTTTTAAATAAAATATCATAACAGATAGAGCCACGCGCAGTTTTAAAAGTTGCCGGGAAAGTTAAGCAACTCGTTGCTAGATTTTTTAAAATCTAAGTGGAGGAGACTTCCACCTTTTGGATTTCCTATGACAGTGTTTCTCAAACTTTTCAAGATACTCCTCCCTTTATGTAAAATATTTTTCTCATGTCTTAAACTTTCTATAAAGCATAACCGTATAGCTTTCTTATGGTGCATTTTATTCTAATACACCGGTAGCTGGTCTTGGGTTCGCGCCTCGCCAACGGGCTGTCCACGTAAAGTTTTCTGGGTTTTCTTCACGTATGTAACATCTAATTAGGGGCTAGTTTCTAAAAGAAAATCCTCTCGAGAAGAATTCCCCTCGGCAGATCGCCAACGTGTCGCGGTTCCGTATACAAACAAACAATTTTACTCAAATAAAAATAAAGGTGTTCTTATAATTTTTTTTAGGTAATATACAATTTTATTTAAAAAAAAGGTAAAACAATACATAGGGATACAAATAAATGAAATCAAATATTGATGAACTGTACAGTAACGAATAGGTAGTAATTTGCTTAATCATAACTTCAATGAAATAACACTATAATTACCAGTGTTTTGATGCTGTATTGTATAGAAACTACTGTATAGAATATTGAGTACGTATGAGATTTATGAATGAAAATAAACAATGATATGTATCGATCATTTCTTCACCCTCCTAGAAATGATCTCGCACATCACTAAGTACTCGCGCCTCATAGTTTGAGAACCACTATGGTAATTTACATGTATATATAAAATTCTCCCAGTTTGCTTCATTCACATAAGGACTTGCTTAATTAATTAAGTATAATATTTATCTCTAATTTTTTAAAGCAAGTTTTAATTGGAGAGAATTCTTAAAAATAATATAGGTCTAACAAACAAATACAAATACAGTATACATATAGCCTATATTCTATGTCAGTTGCGACAGATATGTTATATAGTTACTTATCTGTTACTACTAAATATAGGTTATATATAGATATCAAGAAGGCAGACAACTCGTTGATATAATCGAAAATGTACGGATAAAATATAAATTTTAGCCTAACTACAATTGAATTTCCTTATTATTGACTTCAAAGCATTGTTTTCAATTAGATAATTTATGGAAATATATGAAAATAAACTTTATAATTTAGGTTCTAAATAGAGTTTCCTTGTTGTTATCGTTATTTGTACACAAACACGCGGAAAGTTTTGATAATTAGTAAAACTCCGGAGTATCAGTATAAACATATTAAATTGTCAAGTTAAACTTGTTAAATATTTAATGAGAATATCATTAATTTGCTACAAAAATAGATCAAATTTCGCATGTATCTTTACCATTTTTGAGTTAGAGTAGTTATTAAAGTTACTCCAATCGATTACGAAATAAATTTTAAATATGCCGTTAGTGTAAATTCTCAATTGAATTTTCTTCTATAATACATAAAAGAAAATTATTATATCAACGTCGTTATAGTTACATTTAATATTCAACTTTGTTACTATAAATAGGCTGCATTTTCTTGGCTATTAATGATTGAGTAAAATGTCAATAAAAAAGTCTCTCATCAATGTTTAATGACTCGCATACATGTTGACATAAAAGCTCACCGGATGATTATCCCGGACCTTTATTTATTTTTGATGATAAATATCCTTCTGTATGAGGGCATAAGCGGATAGGGAGCTACCAAAAGCTAAAGGCTATGCCAAGATTTATTTTACGTTTCCCTCCCTACGCCGTTAAACCAATTAAGTCACTCTATATATATAAATGTATTAAGCAAACACCCGAACCAAATTCTTATTAGATTTAATATCCGAAGACGTTAAGTCAATTTTGCACGTTTATAATAAACCAATCGCTGATGTAATTTAAAGATTATGAAATCAATTTACGAATCCCAGAGATACTCGAGAAATTATCCTGTTTATAACCGAAATTTTCGAGATTCGTAATTAAAGGATTTCGCCATTAATCCTCCGACGCGACAAATACCACCAGAATAAAAATTTTCTATAGGTGAGGATATTATAATCGATTTATTTCTATATATATATATATATATATATATATTATTTTTTTTTTCGGTGGTGTTTATATGGCAGAACGCTCTTTATCAAGATCGTTATAAAACATATTGGACATTGGCCAACATAAACCGATTTAAGAGCTACAGTTTTGCTCATAAAACTCTAGAAAAACAACAGTCGAAGCTTCTGCAGCCCAATAAGAAAAAGAGTGTCCAATTTTCGTCAGTGTTAATCCGCACTACTCCCACACTACTCAACTGGTAGGCAGGCGCGTACATCACTTATAAAACTACCTGCAGTTCAAGCAGACGGTGCCACCTTTACACGTGTCCTATACTTTCTGCTGACAGATGGGGTACCGAAGTCGCCTGACGTTGCTTTTGTTCGTTGCCGTTTACTCGAGTCCAGGTAAGTCACGAATTTCTTTCCCCCTCCGCTTTGCTCCCCCGTTTTATAATTAATGCAAATGAATTGAATTAAATTTTATTTAAACTGTAAAAAGTATATTTTTCGAGCGATAAATGCACGGAAAGCGGTGAACTTTGTTTCAATAAAAACAAAGTTCATCACTTTGTTTTGTTTCGTATGTTTCCTCCTAATCGTGTTGATGTGTATATTGAGATAAGATCAGTTAAAGCAATGTAGTGTATTTTAAAAGATATTCTTCTATTTAAATATAGAATTGACACAATTTATAGAACACAAAGTCTAAGTAACAAAGGAAAATAATTCTTACTTTTATATATATATATATATTTTAAACAATTCCAACTTGGAAAATCCTATACCTACGCACCCAAAAATAAAGTAAATAATGTTAAAATTCTTAAACGTATTTTGAATTATAAATATATACTATAAAAAATTATAGCCGTGTTAATTAATTTAGCCACCCTTTTCTATATCCTACGTTACTTAATTAAAATACTCAAATAAATGTTTATATTTAATTTTATTACTATTAATTAACACATAAAACATTTAACGACAATTAGTTATTACGACATAAGAATAAACATTGTTATAAATTAAATACGAGCAGTCATTTAATTATAGTGTTGTTATATTCTCTCGAGAGTTTAAATCTGTGGCAGAAAGCACGAATATAATAATAATTCGTGGGGGAATTTGTCACGGAACTTTATTTTGAACTGAATTTTACTAGTTTCTGCGTTGTCTTGACAAAATTTATGCATCTATAAAGCACAGATTGAAGATTTATATTGAATAACGAGGGTGGATATATGAGTAAATCGAGTTTATTATTTTAATTAAGTTCTGTAGATTCAATGAAATTATCTTTACGTTACTAATTTGCATTCGTATTGCTTCACATATGGCAAATTTCGTAAATGAAAGGATGTAAATAATTAATTATTCAAAATAAAAACTAAATCTGTTGTGACGAATCTGTTTACACAATAAAGCGTAATTTAGATCATTCTCTCTAATCTAAAATTAATAGAATTGTATAAATTATGTAAAGTTCTACATTATTGCAGTGTATTAGCGAAAAACATTAAGCGAATTTACAGAAATTTGATTTATTATCAGCAAAATAATCTTTATTTACTAAATGTATCATTGTAAAAATCATGTTATAATTTTAAAGTTATTTCATATTATTAATTAATAAAACACACATCGAGATAATTTACATCAGCGTGTGAAATACAATGTATTTTTTAAAAATTAACATTGTGGGTGTGATTTGCAGTGTAAAATTAATTAAAATTCTATATTAGAAACAATGCTACAGAAACTTAATTTTAGAAGAGTTTCCTTTGTTTCGATGAAATTAAATACCTAGTCAACATTCGAGCTGTTTATATTCGTGTTAAATAAATTAATTACATATTTACCATATTAATACTTACTAAAACTGAATCAATCGATGTTTAAATTATTTAAATATAATAATAAATAAGTGGGTTATTGCCTATTTATATTAATATAGGTTATGAGTATGATTAAATTAATTGATAAATTCCTAAAAAATGATAAGATTACTAATCCATCCATTGATAATTGGATACTTTAAGTATTTTTATCCATATTCTTTTAGATCTATTTTGTAAAATTCACTATTTTTTTTAAGTATTTAGTTATTAAAATTTCAATTTATTCCTGCATAAAATATAAATTTCATCAATAATTTTTCGTTTTTACTGTTATTTTTATAGATTTTAATTGTTTTTTTCTATAGTTAATAGGGGTGGCTTATTTTGCACATTAAGTTTGTGTAAAGAATAAAAAAAATTCCACATTTATTGTTATAAAAAGTCGTTTTGGACATGTATAAAAATGATTTTTCCAGATTATAACGTAAATAATTTGAATTCGAAGTTCCTTTTTAATTTAATTTTAATTAATATTCTAAAATTGTTTCGTAAATAATAATGATTCCTAGCAACGTAAAGTATTTTCTGTTAGCATCCTACATGTAAATTAGTTTACGTAACACATTTATGTTCCTTATTTAGAACAGTGCTTATTAATTCGAACAAAGAAAATTAAAAATAATGAGTAAAATAGAAGTTTTAGTTGCTATATCTACAGGCAATAAGTTAACCATAAACAATCAAAATAAAACAAAATAAAATAAAATTTCATGAAATCCCCTCCCAATCATTTGACTAATTATAATTTACTTTTCTATTCTGCTGTAAAATTTGTATTTGTTTTAAATATATTTTGATAGAAACTAAACGTTTATTCGTCGTAAACTCANAAGTTTGGTTATTTTAGTCTACCATTGTAATGTTTATCAGAAAGTGTCGAAGGGATGATATTAAGGGAATGAAGTATGGAGGCTTCAGGGTAGCCTGTATTTACCGCAGGATCCTAGAGAATTATGTGTCATGGGGTTGAAATCAGAGGAGGAATGAGACGTCAAGATAGCTTATATTTATTACAGGGTCCTAGAGAGGACCCATGAAAAAATTGACAGAGATTGTCAAAAGGTTTAGAAGTGTATAGGAAACAGACATACAATTTGATATTTATTATCTAAGGATTATTCTTAATTCTCATTTCATAAAAAATATAGGTTATTAAAATCATTTTTTAATTAAAAAAATAAATAAAAACATCCGGATAAAGTTCGTTAGTGTAACTGATAATTAAATCGTTATTATTTAAGAAATAAAAATAATTAATTATACAATTTTACATAGAATTGTTTGAAATATTTTCCTCGTTTATAAAACAACATAACTATTTAAAAAAATTATTCTTTAATATACATTTCCATTCATTTGTTTAATTTAGTAATTAAATAAATGGATGAAGACGTACGGTACGTACATTTTAAAAATATTAGTTAAAGATTAAAAATATAATTTTATTACCAAATAAATGAATTAAATTGTCTGTTTTTAATAATATCACGCGCATAATTATACCATTTCGTTTATAAATTAAATGCTAAAAAAAATAAAAATGGCATTAAGTTTTTTTTTTATGTTTTAATTTAAATAATTAAATCTAGAATATAATTAATTTTACAGATTTTTTTAATTGTTATTTTATGATTATAGCTGAAAGAAGGAAAAAACTAATAATAATATAAAAATAAATATCTACAATTTAAAAATATAAAATTGTTATACATTTTATTGCCAAATATATGAATGAAATTGCTTATTTTTTAACAATACAACGTGCATAATTTTACTATTTCATTCATATAATATGCTTAGTAAGGGACCTTCCATTAATTACGTGTGCAGTTTAAGATGGAGTCGCGTACAGTACTTCAATGTACACAATAGGGAGGGAGGGAGCCAAAAATGGTTTAAAAACTGTATACGTAATTAACGGACGGCTGCTAATTTATAAATCAATTATTGTTTCACTCGTAAATAATTTATTAGGTTTTAATTAATGGAACAACACAAAATAATGACAAATATTGGTAAAATAAGTGAGAGTATTATTAATATATTTTTTATAATATTAATAAATATAGAAGAAAAGTAAAATAAAAAGAAAAAAAAATACGCCGTAAGAAAAATCAAAAGTGCAATAAAATTTATGAAAAAATCTTAAGGTAAATGTGCATTTTAATATTGTTTCTCAACAAAGATCGGATGCAATTTATTGCTTTTATATAACAATTTCTTGTCTCCACGAGGCGATTTTTCTCTATTAAATAAAATTCTTTCCCTTTTCTTGGAGGTAATTTTTCTATAAAAGAAAGCAAAAAAACACTTGCAGGCAACTGTCAATAGGATTTATGTTTCCATAGCACCCTTAGACAATCACTTCAAAAACCTTCAACAAGCTCTCATAAAGTGATAATTTTTCAATAACGGTAAATTTATCTTAAGGGATATCAATTTTTAAAAGTTATATTATTAATATTTATACTGAACAATATAATTTTATTAATGTAATTTCATTAGCATATTTTAAACAAATGTGTAATTTTATAAGATCATCCATAAATTACGTAACGTTATTTTTATACTTTTCAACTATCATAACTCTCCATAACATTGTCGTGCATGCCCCGAAAATAAACTAAATGACTCCTAATTTAAATTTGCTTAAAGATTTTTTTAAATTTAATTAAATGTTCAAAATATTGAACAAGAAATTCGTTAAGACAACTCTACACAATTTAATTTTGTACACTTTTATACCTTAAAAGTTTGTTTATAAATAATTGAATCAGTTAATTTGTTTGTGTATACTATACTAGTTGAAAGAAGGGGCTACCTCCTGGTTACACTCAAAGGTACGACCAGGAGGTTGTAAAGATGGTGAAAAAAGAGGAAGAGAGAAGAAAACAAGTGATGAAAAGGAGGGCAGGATGATGATAGGATCATAGGGCACTGCCTCGATAGTTTATTAAATACAAAACAGAAAACATATGTACAAATTATATATAAGATGCACGTAACACAGGTGACAACAAATAATGACTAATACAGTTTGTACAAATATAAATAGAGAACATTATAACGTTTTTTTTTTTTTGTGTATAGCAGTGTTTCTCAACGGGGGCGATATCGCCCCCATGTAGGCGTTTTTCCATGTTGAGGAGGCGATTTGTAGCAATTTATATTATGGGGGGCGAAAAACAATTTTCTGGGCGATATAGTAAAACATTATGTTAAGAATAATTAGATATTTTGTTCGTTATATCGAACAATAATTAAACAAATAACATTATACTAGTCATTAGTCTATTCAATGCAGTACGAATTTGGCGTTAGCCTTGGCCGTCGGCATCGGAATTTTTAAGTGAAGAGGGCAATGCTACTTTACGGTTTCATTGAAGGGGGCGATACTACGTAATGGTTTTATTGAAAGGGGGCGACGATTCGTTAGAGGTTGAGAAACACTGATGTATAGCATTTAAACGTACTAAACTCTTTTAGTTTTTATAATTGTCATGTCTTTTAAGCAGAGTTGCAATATTTAAATAATTGAATTTAAGAAATTAACTGTTCAAAATTATCGAAAAGAAACAATTTAAACAGTTTATTTTCAAATTAACCAATTAAACAGCTTTCCGTGACGAAATAAAAAAAGTGATCAATAAGATTTCCCCGCGTCACACATTTTGAAATATGTCATTTAAATTTCATCAATGGCAATGGAGAGAAAATGAAAAGTAATCCGTGTAAGGTAATAATTCAAATTACGTAAGGTGAATATTACCCAATAACAGAGGGAATTTTTTAAAATATTAGTAAATAACGTGAAAACAGGCGTGTGAACGTTTCTTGCAGATGAGAGCGCTTCATTAATGAAGCCAAAGAAGTTCAAAGTTTATCTTCAAATATCAAAAGTTAATCCAGTTGATTTGAAAGATGGAAAACACGTGTCTAATGATCAAACAGAGATTATCCTTTTGACACGACTCGTAGACGTGATGATCATAGAAATAATTTGATCCGAAAAATCCTAATTTTTCTTCCTGTTTTCCTCAAGAATCTCGGGGATAATATAACTTTTAAGCTTTAGTTAATGATTTATATAACAGATCATCAGCAGTTTGCAGGAAAATGCAATACAATGTCTATATATTTTTTTTTTATCCACTTAGATTAGCTAATCCTGACTTTCACATCAGATTTTTCGCAGTTTTTCAGTTTAATAAAAAATTATAAATGATTTATTTTCGAATAAAATACATCCTCAATAAATTGTTTATGATTTTTCAAGATATTTTAGCGAAAATTAGTTTTTAAAGAAGGCGAGAGTTAGCTTATCTCATGTACTTTACAGTACATTAAAATCACTTTTCTGTGGGTTCTCTACCCTTTGGTGGATATTTTTCTATCTGGTATATGCTCCCAGGCTTTAATTCTATAAAAGAACTATTATTTTCCTTCTAGAAACCACGTCAGTAGAAAATTGGTTCTTTCGCCAGTGATCTTTCAAATATATATAGGGCCTATATTTTTTTTTTTTACTCTCAAAATTTCCTTAGGCATATTTCTTTAAGGAAGATAAGTGATCAAATCCTGTTTTTACGAACTTTTTTCATATAATAAAACACACTTTGACCTTTTAAATATGCTTAAATTTGAAATTTTAAGATGAAAGCACGAAAAATTTTTATTAGAGGGAGCAAGTCGCATTAAAGATTTCGGCGCCATCTTTTGGAAAAATAAATATTAATTTTATTTTAATTTTCTAATTATTACGTTTTAATTTTTACTAATAAGTTATTCACGTGATTAATTATTTTACAGGTTTTGCCTTTAGTTCTTCTAGGAATTTCCATCATCACACTTTCCATTCAGGTAACAGAGTCATGCAGCTAATTATTCAAGGTAATTATTTTGTTTTCTATTTATACGAAGTTTACTAAGTTCGTTAATGATTAGTATCGAATTACTAACTTTAATTAGCCTAACTGTCTACTGCATTTACATAATTTTTGATTGTTTGGAATAAGACAACGCAACACGAGAGCGATCTGCCAATGGAAATTGCTACTGGGAGGACTTCTGTGGGAACCTGATCCCTATTTAGATGCTAGACAGTGGCGCTTTATATACTCATGGGACCCAGGCAAATTTGAATTAGGAGGCCCCATGTACATTTGTTTTATTCGGAAAAAGTTTTGTTTCCTGGTTAGTTTTTGGTGCAACCTCTGGAGGATTAATACCCGGTCGTCTTCATTCAGGGTATAGTCTAACCCATTATGGGCATGGTAAAATACCTTCTTAATGCCTTCTACCATGCTCATCGTGGCAATCACATGACAGAAGAATCAAAAATAAAAGAAAAATACATTCTTTTGTAGGATAGAGCATCAATCCACACCAAGCTTACCTTGTCCGACCATGTTTATTTCATCAATTGCCATAGATGCCTTTTGGGATCATTCTTCCCTTTCTCAGTATGACGTATTTTATTGTTTTTCTTTTGAAAAAAAAAAAAAAACATATTTTATAGTGTTGTGTTTATAGAACACTATAATATACATATTTTTAAAAACTTTTACCACCCACAGGAAACTAAGAGATTTTTTCCGTGGCCGTTATAGATTCAAGCAGGCCCGCAATGAGGTTCGGTGGTGAGAGAGGAGGCCCTACAGATTCGGGCCTCAAACGTGTCGCCTTTACTGCTTCTCCTCCTTACTGTTTCTACCCATCCGTCTCTATAAAATACCATCATTTTGGAGTGTAAATTTACCTGATATTTCTGTACTCGAATAAAAAAATAATTGATAATTCTGAAGGCTAGTTTTCGATTTTTGTCATTCTTAAATTAGAATGACAGAGGCTTACAGAATTATGGAATGCAGTATTACAATAAAACTATAGATTAATAGGTATTACTTTGTTTCTTAAAGGTTACGCTGATAAACTTCTGAGGGAGTTACAGTCCAATCCCTTCAACCATTTTAGTAAAGAACAAATTCAATTGTTTCGTCAAAGAATGACTGAATTGTACGATCACATACGTCATCATCCAGCGCTACATCAACGTCACTTATGGGTGGGAAAGGGGAAGCCTTCTATAGATCCCGACAAAAGCAATTATGGGTTAGAAGAGGTAAAGTAAGACATGTATTTAGTTTTTAACTGTTAAAGCATTATTTTTAATAGAATAAAGGAATTTGTAGAACGTTAACAGAAGATTCGACAGAGCAAAGATGATCGACTCCGAGGACGTGCGTTACGTGCAGAAACGCAACAGACCCCTAATGTTTCCTTCCGAAGAAATCTGCAAAACCAACAGGCAGTGGGAACAAGTAAACAAAACACAAGATTTTTACGATAACGAAGTGGAAGTGGTTCAAGATGATGTGCAACAATACGTTTTTTCGTATCGTTGCAAGAACGAAGGAAAACCCTGTGAAGGAATATCAGCTTCGTAAGTATATTATAGCGAAATAATTCTATTTTATGAGGGGTTCATCAGAAGAATTGCATTCATTAACGTTGAAAATATTAAAATATGTCATTGCAGTTATTACAGTGAGTGCACAGAGAGATTTGGATGGATGTATATGTATTATCGAAGACTCGATGATCCCGATCGAGTACCCCAATGGGGTTACGTTGCGGCTCCTCACCATTGCGCATGCAAGATTACTCAAGTTGCCCATTTTTCTCAACTAGTCCATATGCCAGTTCCAGAACTATGATAAATATTGTCTTCATTACTTTTATTGTGACTAAATATTTCAAACAGTTGCATTATAAACTCTTAAATTTCAAAATCGTCATTTCATTTTGAAATTCTATTCATTTTGAACATTTGCTTGTGGTTATTCATGATTTTTAAAATGATTTATTAAGCTTTCTCCAGTTTATGGAAAATATATTATTATTTTAAAATTATATTCACTTTCATGGAATTTTGGGAATGTAACATTTTGCAGAATTCATGCTCAGAAAAATAATGTTTTCTTTATGCTTTTAAGTAGATACAGTCCGTTCATTTTCATAAAATTAATTTTTTTCTATACTTTAAGGTAATTTAAATGCATTTTTAATGTGGTTACATTAATTAAGGAGATTTTATATTTAAATTTTTACGTTTTTTTATGCTAAATATTCAAAATTAAGCTATTTTATTGATTTTTACAAGTAATATTCTGTTTTAGTATGCAAGAAATGGTTATTTAATTATGTTTATTTAATTAACTAGAGAAAGCTTAAAACAGTTTATTTGAATGTAAAAAAAGAAAGAAAAACTTAAAAGTAATTCTCAGTTTTAAAAATAAAAAATGAAGTCAATTGTAAGAAATGATGATAATTATATGACAATTTTCTTTGTAAAACATGTAATAATAATCATTAATAAAACTACTTTAATGATGGTTTTGTTGTATAACATTTATTCAATTAAATGTCTGAATTTTTTGTATAAAAACCCATTTTTTTAGTCTAAAAAGCAGTTTTGCCTATAAAAAGCCAGGCAGAGAATGAAGCACTTATTAAATTTCCAAGACTTAATGGAACTCGAATCCAAGCTCTCCGGAATATCATGCTTATAACATTAATGCCAGGCCACTGGCTATCTACGTAATAGTATTTAAATACATACTTCTAATGTGCAATACATTTTACACTTGATATAATGCCAGCTACATAATTTAAGTTTACAGCTACGTTTTTGTATACATGATAAGTATGACGCTTATATCATAATTTCCTGTAAATTTTGCCCGTATTATTATTATTATTGCATGTAAAACACATAAATCTGTTAGAAATTGCGGAAATTTTACGAATATCACACAAAACAGCCCTCGAAGAATTAATATATAAATGTTTTTGAAATAGCCAATAACGGGAAGAATATTTTAAAAAAATAACCAATAGGAGACGAGGAAACAATTTAAATTTTTTTTAATGACAAGTAATTGCGTTTATAAGTATAAGAATTGTTTCTAAAGCTATTTTTCCATTTTTACAATAAAATTTTATAAAAACATTCCGAATATTTCTTTGTTTTGATTTAATAATAATGGACATTTTTATACATTTTAAAATCCAAATTCCGTTCATGCCGCTTGTTACGTTTTCAGAAAGGAATGTGATTGGTCAAATCAAGTTTTTGAATCATTAAAATGCAAAGTTTTGTATTTATAATGCTATAAATTATTAGTAATTCATAATAATATGCTTATTTTAATTACGAATATTTATCATTTTTAAATTAATTCGTAAAATAAATTAGTTCAACTATTAATTTAAAATTATTAAAACAGTTTATAATTAATCTAAATTCACGAATAATGCTGAATTTATATATAAATTATTTTAATAATCCTAAATAGAGAATTTTAAAATTTTATTTACGTAACATACAAACGTCATCGATCACATGACACCTGTTGGTTATCCAAACTTCAATATGGAGGCGCTCTCCTTGCTTCTTTTCTTAAACGTTATAAGATTATTAACTGCTCAGTATAAAAATTACTGTAAGTTAACATTTATCTTAAATTAATACATTAATTCACTTGCCGATTAATTTTTAATTAAATTAATTAAACTCAATTGAGTATTATTTACCGTTTGGTCCATCGATAATGGTTTCTTTAAATAATTTCATTTATTAATTTTATTTAATTAATTAATATTATTATTAATATTTAAAATTTTTATTATTTTTTAAAAATGCAAAATAGATTATATACTGAAACATGTGTCTTTAATAATTAAAAAAATTAAAATTAATTACTCTAATCGATGCTAATTTGAATTCTTCATTAATTTGTCCATATCGGCTTTTTTAAGAACTACACTTCAATTTTATAATTTAAATATCATCAAAATTAAAAGATATTTTATCGTATTTATTGATTTAACTGTAAAATTAGGTCTATCATGTGATAATTTCATTCTACTGGTGTTTACTTCACCACACGCAACCCTGATCAGCCACTTTGAAACCTTGTGTAACTTTATTGATTATCATAACAGTCCGTTCTGTTTATTGATGTTCATCCAGTCTATGTCAGAGAATTAGTTCAATAACATTTATTTGCGACTTTTGTTAGTTCTTTCAGCGTTTACGAAGATTGATTGATTAACAGTTTGAGTTTTATTGCTTTAATTCCTAACAAGAATTCAGTTAATCAGTTTGCCGACAACATAACTTTGGGTCTTCTTAGTTAATTTTTACTTATTTGAGAAGGATTTTTGAGCGTAAAAAAGAAAATATATAGTAATTTAGGCGGAAAATATGGTTTTAATAGTTTTGGCACACAAAACAAGTATTTGTACAATAGTATCTCAGAAATATTGTAGTTAATTTTGCACATTGATGTTCATTTTCCTATTTTAAAAAAAGCTATTTTAAATAAGTTCTAACCATTTCTGATTAATTTTTAAGTCCAAAATTTAAACAAATTCGAAATTAATTGGGATGTAATTTGAAAAACATTGTAGACCTATAAATTCCCACTGTCGTCCGTGTGTCCGTCAGTTTGTCTTTTCTTAATCTCGAGAACGAAATTAGGTAGATGAAAGCTGAGAGCAGATACGGAAATCTTAAGAGCAGGAAATCCCGATTAACTGTACAAGAACTTCCCGTTTGAAACGAAAGTTACATTATTTCAATTAAAATTATTTCCCAGAAAGCGGTTAATAATGATTGGCACGACTCTGTTGGTAAAGGAAAAGTATGATGTACAGGAGCAAGACACTACTAATTTGAGGTGGAGAGGATATATTTTAAATTAAATAAATTAAAAATATTATTTAAAAATTACAGCTCGGTATTGTGACGATGTCACAATAAAAATCGCTCCATTTTTTAAAAATGTTTACCTTTAAAATTGATATTTTTAATTTCGAGACGGTTATGGTATTAGCTTACTGTTCTGGGGGACCGGAATCAATCCAAGCATGTAACTCTTTCACATATTATATGTTCCGGAGATGTTGGACCCCATTTCTCACCATCATTCCATACTCATTGTGGTATGGCCAAACCCACAATGGGCATCATTAAAAAGGTCCTCTAAGTGTCTGCAGGGTGAAAAGAGACATAAATCCTGCCAGATCTTTAATATCGAATGAAGGAAGATGAAGAAAAGTGAACCAAATATACTTGTACCAAGATACCTTTTCCTAAGCCGCGGCTTAGGAAAAGGTATCTGGGAACATGTAGATTTCAATTGTACCGAATCTTGTGAAGTGCCCACAAAGTGGAAACGGCTAGCCGTTTCCACTTTGTGGGCACTAAGAGGACTAATTTAACAAATCAATTATGGGTTCGACCAAGGCCTCAATGGGGTGGCCTGGTAGTGAGTTGCAAAATATTCAAGAGTGAACTTGTATTGTATGAGAAAACAGAATACAGGTGTTAGTACGCGAAACGTCCGCCAGGCGGTACGCCAACAGTTATTGTTAACGTCTCTGCTAGAAAGTATAGTGTTTATTTCTCTAGTATTTATGTCAATAAAGAATATTCATGTCTATTATTTCTGATATAAACTCGTTTCATAAGATACAGTGGAAAATCGACATTATTGAATAGTCACTCCTCCATTAGTACGCTGTATTGAGGGTGAACAATATTTATATTCTGATGACGCTTTTTTCACGTTAATTTTAAAATTAAATGTCAATATTTACAATACACAAACATAATGCACATAAATTTGATTCTAAGGAGTAATTTATAATATATCAAAGTCATTTTTTATATACAATTTACAGGTACAGGTATCAAACATTTAAATTATTTTAGCGGAATTATAGAATTATTTTATAGTAAATTTATTGTAAGAGGACATGCAATATTGTAATATATAAAATACTTGTTTACACTTTGCGGCATGAAATGTATTAATGAAATATGACTTACGCATGTATTTTTAAACTGAAAAATAATTTATGATGGTGATAAATATTTTGTATTCATTGACTGAAAGTCGCTTGCCCCTCTCTAATTTTTTGAAAACACTCTTTGTCCCGTAAGTACTGAGGGCCCATTTTTTGTCATACCCATTGTGAGTTCGACACAAATGGTAAATAGTGGTGAGGGTGGTCTGCCTAGGATCCTAGGCAGACCTCCGAAAATTTCTAGAGTTGCTCGCCCGATTCCGAGTTCCCTAAATCCGTAAGCTGATCCTTAACCCGTCTGTCTAATTTGAGCATATGTGCTTACCAATAGAACTCATTACACTTTTTAAAGTATATACAGATATTTAAATATATAAAGTACAGTACCCTTGTTTCACGATTGCTAGTTTTATAACCCCAATTTTACGACTGCTATAAATTTTATATTATGACCTGCATTTCGCAGGTCATAATATAAAATTTGCTGATCATCACTGTCTTATATTATAGTCTACTCTTTATACTGCAGTCTTTATACTTTATGATGTTTTTTTTCTTCTGGATTGAATTCATAATACAAGGCAACGCAACACACACACGATCTACCAAGGGATATCGCTCCCCCTATAGTTTCTCATAAAAGTTATGATCTACCAAGGAGGAGCCATCTCGGCTCCTCCTTGAAGATCGTGACTTTTATGAGAAACTGGTCCCATTTAGTGTTAAACTTATGCTATGTTGATGAAAGCATGGTCTAAACAATTTTATAACTCTCTATACGGTTTTGGTGGTTTGAGCGTTGTGCTTTTAATAACTGTTGAGCAACACCCCAAAATGTCATATGACATTGTCATTGGGCTTGTAACCTGATAAACAACGAGCGGTCGATAATCGGGATAATCTCCAAAAAAAAGCCCTACAATGAGTATTTACTGAAGCCCTCTGATTTAGCAATTGCGATGTTATAAGCAGTGTATTTGGTAGAAATAATCGGAAAAGTTTTGAAACACTTAACTTAGATCTTAGGTAGGAAAATAGTCTATTGTTTACAATAGTGGTGAAACTTAGTAGAAATAATACAGAGGACCTTTCCTTGATGGCACTTCTTTGTTTACCCGATATTGATCTTGGTCCATTTGCAGTAGCGGTTCGTACGAATTAGTAATGTCGGGGCTACTGCAATAAAAGTAAGAAAAAATCAATATGGGTTGCAAAAATTATATTATTAATAAAACTAAAATATATACTATGTGTATAATTTACTTATAATGATAAATTAGCATAGGAATGGCGATAATAAAACAGAAACTTTCCTTTTATACCGGAAAGGGGTACAGTCCTTATAGACGACCCTCCTTTCTTAATTGCAAGTTTAAATGTGGAAACAGTCATAAGCTACAATATAATTCATTCATACCTGTATTTGATCTTTTGTGTAAAAATCATCATAAATACATTTTGTAAATTGTACGTATAATCTATCTATACTGTTTAATTCCGATTTTATTGTTTTAGCATATAGCACTTTGTGTTCGGTACCAAAATCAGATTTCAACTCTAAAACTCTGAAAGTGACCAGCATTTCGGTAAGTTTCAATTAATTTATAAAATATTTTCATTATAGCATAACAAAAACATGAATTATTTTTAGAAATCTGATGAGGTATTTTACAATTGTACCGAATCTTGTGAAGTGCCCACAAAGTGGAAACGGCTAGCCGTTTCCACTTTGTGGGCACTAAGAGGACTAATTTAACAAATCAATTATGGGTTCGACCAAGGCCTCAATGGGGTGGCCTGGTAGTGAGTTGCAAAATATTCAAGAGTGAACNGAATTATTTTTAGAAATCTGATGAGGTATTTTACAATTGTACCGAATCTTGTGAAGTGTTTCGATTTTCTTTCGCGGCCATCGACTTCTTGGCAGAAGTATTTAACTTCAGGTATTTGCAATTGGTTAATTATGTAAAAAATAAATTATAACATACCGATTGTCCATAAGTCTGGTCCAGGAGTCTATGTCTAGATCTTCGTTCATTATTTTACAAGTAAAGCATGACGCTGGCTGAAGCAGTTAAGGCTTTATGCTCTCGAGCAGGATCACATAAGAACGGATCTAAAGCACCCCAGTAATTATTCGGAGAGTAGTCTGTCTAGTAGGCCTATACGTGTCCCGTCAATCATCATCCGCTTGAACTCACTATTGGCTTGTAAAAAGGCCGTTATAGTGCACACAAAACGGAAAAAGTTTTTTAAAAAATGGAGCTGAGTCAAGAAGAATGACTTCAAGTTATTTTTATGGTAAGGGATCCCCAGTCAGCAAGAAATCTCGGATGGTGGGAAGACTGGATGCAGCCGTTAAAACAATTCGAACTCGTTTGTACTCAGCAACATGTTTTGCCTGTAAAAGAATAAACAAAATCAACATAATTCCTAAGGAGCCAGACTTATGGAACAGCCTGTAGTTTTATATAAAGTTTAACTTTTTATTTTAATGCTGCTATAGTTATCAGGTGATAAAACCCGAAGATAATACTTTTGGAATCAAAGAAATCATCAATGGCACCGTCGTTTGGAATGGGATGATCAAAATGCTCGCCAACGGAGTAAATTTTGAAGGATAAATTTTTAATAACTTGTACTTTATATATGTAAAACACTAATATTTTTACTTTATTTAGGAGGCAGATTTAGCTGCTGGTCTGTTTTTTATTACCGAAGAGCGCAAAGAAGTTATAGACTTTTCACTTCCAATTATAAACGATCGTATGGGATTAATTACTCTTTCTCCCAAGGAAGCTGGAAATTATAAAGCTCTGTACGCTCCTTTTGACAGAAATGTAAGATTACTATTTTTTAAGATTTTAATTTATAAAGAAATTTCAAAATGGCAAGCATTCAAAAATTGAATCCAGATATATGAACTTTAGGGCAAATTTCTGGACTTCTTTTGAGCCAATTTGATAGCATTAAAATTTTGTATTCTGATATAACTGATACATTCAATAATAGGTTATAACTACCGCTTAGGAGGAATCCGGAATCGAATCCGAGCAAATGATTTCCTCAGAAAATTTTCATGAGTGGTCGTCCGCGGATATGTTGGGTTCTGTCCCTCCTTATCCAGGTGCTATTATTTTGGGCCTAGCCAAAGGTATGGCAAAAAATCCTCTTTGTTTTCACACTACGAGGACTTTTCCCCATACATATCGTAAGAGTTAAAAAAAATCAGTTATATAAATTGTGATATAATCATAAACGCCTACAACGCTGAAATTGTCGATTATTTTTTGCTGAGGTACTAAACAGATTTATAAGATTTATCATAAATTTGGCTACGTCCACAATGGGGCGATTGTATAAGGAAAGGAGTCCGATATATCCATGTCAAACTATCCAAGGAAATTTCTAAAAATCCGACTCCGACTTTGATAATTGCTGAATATTAAATCTTGGTGTTAAGCATCTGTTCAAATATATTTACATTGTACACAGACTGCTTGTAAGGAGGCTTTTTAGTATTAAGATAGTATTAAAATCCATTGTGTTGGTAGCCTACTATCTGAAAGTTGAGGGACAGGAAGTGACATATCTATCACCACGCTGGCCTGAAGATTCACGATGTTAGTTTTAGCTTCTTCAGCTAAATCTAACATCCACTATAGAACGCAGAAATGTAACTTTTGTTTACAACTCTTTGATTGATTAAATGTTCGCCCTGACATATTTTAGGCTATTCTTACACCATTACAGACCAGTGGCGTGCCATGACATCTGATGATAGGGAACCTGTGTTTCTGTAAGAAGCCGACTTCCAGCGGCAATCAGTTAATTGCGCGTCAGGGTCCATTCGTATTCGTTTGTTCGATAAGCCTGTAAAAACCGCACACTTCTTTAAATGTATTATTAATAGATTATCCGACGTACTTAATAAATAAATAAGTTCAATATAATTACCTCTGTTATTAGATTCAATAGATTCCCTATACCCTCTAAATGCTAATTCTCGCTTTGAGAAAAAACATAACATCTATTAATTTAGATATAATATGTTTATTAGCCGTAATTATCTTGTTACAATTTTCGATATTTATTTTATATTGTTTACTAATGTTAAATACTATTCCGCTTTGATTTCCAAATTGCTTCAATTTTACGAAAGAATCGACGTGACATTTATGATTTTCGCGTCTTTTGCCAGCTTTATTCAAATTATTTAAATCGTCAAAGTTATTCTTATTTCACACACACTAATTTCATTTGAAATTAGTAGGCAAGGCCAACAAAATAATTTTTTATGCATCCACAAAGCCATTTTATGTCTTCATAAATTTTATCGTGAAAATGCCGAACAAATTTTTTTGTTGACGTATTTATATTTAATTTAGGCATTGGTCTTTCTCTTTTATTAATGTTTTCTTTTTCATTATATGGTCTCGAGCCAAAACTTTTTAAAAATGAATTTTCAATATCGCAATTACATTCTAAATCGCTAGCCATAATATAAGAGCTAAAATTAAAAATAAAATTATAAAAACTTACTTGTTAAAATAAAATGTGTGATGGATATACAATTATATATACCTGGTACAAAATATTTAATTGTATGAATATACTTTTAAAGAAAATTATAATTAAATGTAGTTTTGTAAAGAAACTTACATAAAAATAACATAAAATATTCTTTAGTTTTTAAGTATTAAAACAATCCACTTAGTTAAAATTGCTCCCTACGAGTGGCTCATGGGTGAAATCAGAGATGATCTTGGTAGTGCAGTTGTTGCGTGCCAAACCCTGAGAGTTTGGCACGCATGCAGTGCGTGCATGCGTGCCAAATTCTCAGGGTGCCGATACCGGTCAATGTCAAATACATCTTTTGTCGCATCACTGGTATATCTGAAAGGACGTGACAGGGCTGTTGTACATTTTAAACGTTTCTCATCATAGCTGTAAACATCTAAATATGTTAAACTTAATAGTCATTTGTTTTCTAACTAATTCGTTTTAGGACCAAGTGTCCTCAGAAATTTCCAAAATTTACAACTTTTCGGTCACTCTCATTGATATGGAAAAATTTCTGTTTTTATTACATCTAATATTACAAAGAATTCATTCCCCGCTCTACTCGGCTAGAGATTGGTTCGGTTAAGCTTTTGTTTAAGTAAAATTCCACCTCTTTCAGCAGGTTTTATTTATGTTCCTAATTCCCTAATTTCTTAATTATTTAGTAGAAATAAGTTGAAATTGGTTACTTTGTAGTTAAATATTTGTAGTCTTGGGAAAGAAGTGGAAAGACAAATATTTATGACAACGGATACATCAATCGTAAATTTAAGGAAAATAAATTCTAGAGCTATTTATTGTACCTTGTGTCTCTCATTCATTAAATTTAATTGTAAATGATGCTGCCAAAGTAACAGTTAATTTTTTTAACATTGTACAAGAATTGTACACGTTTGTTTCTGCATCCCTTTATAGATGGTGCATACTAAATTGTAATATCACTAGTTTAACTTTGAAATCCGTGAGTAATATAAAATCGGAGAACGGAATAAATATATCAAATATTTTAACGGATTTTTTTAAACTCCTGGCAACTATACAGAAAACTATCATAAAAACATACCAGTAAATTTCTATCGTAGGATTAAGTTATAAATCTACTCAGTATTCACATAATCTGGCGAAGCAGGCAGGCGGCTAACAGCCTAGAACCGGTCCTGGATAGAATCATTGGAACCGTTATACGATATTTTGGTGTGTAGCTTCCACTAGCGAAACCGCGTGAGGTTGGTGCTGTGTAAAGCGCAATGAGTATAACCTGGCTGCTTGGAAGCTGACCTGGTTTCGACAATACAGCACAACATGTATTTATATTTTAGAAAATACAAGGGAAGCGGCGCTTCCACCGCTTCCAAGGACGCCACTGTTACAGACAGAACTGGCCCACAAGACTCCAACAGGGGGAACAATCTTCTCCAAACTGTCAATGATAAATTATGGGTCTGTACCAGATTCGACCCTGTACCTTTACAGCGACAATCTGTAGTTCAGATACAGGCTATAAAGATACAGGTTTAGATACAGACCGTAGATTTTACTAATAGGCTCGACACGGTCAACTTACAACGTTTTAAATTATTGATTTATCTGATTAGTATGCAGTTTAGTAAATCAATTATAAGATATTTACTGAGATTATTTGAAGGTTTGGATAATATTAATTATCACATCGTTCATCATGGTACCTATTATATACGGATGCTTGAGAATGGATAGGTATATGAGAAACGATACAAGTCCAGAGCATTACTTTACGTTTAGAGATTGCATTTGGTTCGTGTTTTCTGGTCTTGTAAAGCAAGGTAAGTCATTTTATCAGAATGCTTAATTAGATTTAAACACGGTATAAACGAAACGATGGGTACGTTTATTTAAACAGGAACTCCTCGTTTACCTCAATTTAACTTGGCACGCATGCTGTTTGCTACCTGGTGGTTTTTCACGCTTCTTTTAACAAGTATATATTCCGCTAAGTTAGCAGCTTACCTTACCTTGCCTTCGTTCCACATCATAGAAAATTTGGATGCCGTGTTAGAAAATCCCAGTTTGAAATGGATTATTCAGTATGGACATGCCATTGATGGACTTATTCAGGTTTTTAATGATTTCAAATGCATTAAATTTATTCTAGATTTATACTATAAAAATTATTTTTAAAATATTTTTAGAATCCAACTTCTAGTGTATTTCAAAAGCTTCAGACTTCTATGAAGAAAGGATTTGGTATCAAAGTGAACTCTACGGAAGAAGCTATGGCTCTAGTGCTTAAAGGAGGTTAAATTTTCCTAAATATTCTGCTACTTTTGACCTCTGAACCAACTTTGACTTAAGTAAAAATAAACTTTGAATATATAGTTATCAGTTTCGGAAAACTCGAATAAAGTGTATGCCCGGAGTCGAAAGATTTATGTAGGTTTGAAGCTATAGACAAGTACTATGAGCAAAAAGAGTAGATTAGATTTTGCCCATTTCAGACAGCATTGACAATGAGCATAAACATCATTGATAACGTGAAATATAGGGAATAATTGATTGGTTAAAGACGTAGCCAGAATTACACCTGTCTGTAAAAGTAGTAGTTCTGGCTAGCCATTTAGTCACATGTCTAACTAGTTCAATGAATGGTCTTGCTGAACGAGTTGGTACCACGTGATATTCTCAAGGCGTTTGTGTGGCTACTCGCTTAATTCGAGACTAGACATCCGGGAGTGGATTCATATAAATTTCGTTTTAAAGCACATTTATAACGTTTCGTGTTCTCAAGAGGTTCACCAAAACTGAATAAATAAAACCATTGAACATAGCTTGTATCAATGATAATCCAGAGGTCAAAATGTTACCATAAATTTTGGCAGAACGTTAAAGAAATATACCTTTTACCCTTTTCAATTCTTACTACAGGTTACGTGTACATTCAAGAAGTCACGTCTTTAAAACAGATTATGTTGGACGATTATACGAAAACGGGAAGATGCAGATTCATAAGATCGTCTTATGAGTTTTTCGATAATAAATTGGCATTTGGTTTCGCTAAGGGCAACAACTACAGTCAGCATCTCAATGCTCTGTAAGTACAGTACAAGACTTATGTACAAACAGGTCCAAAAAATAACAATTATTGTTTGATATTTTTTAGAATATATTGTCTGAAAGCTGCTGGCTTAATTCAAAAATGGAACCAAAGATATTTAGTAATTCCAGACGTCTGTCGTTTGTCCAGCGATTTGTTTCTGAGAGCGGAAGACAAGAAATTGAATCTGTTAAATTTATCGCCAGCCTTTTATCTATTAGCAGCCGGATTAAGTTTAGGATTTATTACTCTATTGTGCGAGATATTTATTTTTTCTAGAAAGAAAAGTTCGGTTCGGAGTCAATCTTATACTGTTAATATTAAACGTTCGAATAAAACGGGCTCGGAAAAAAATGTAAACTGAAATGCCGTGCGTGTGAAATAAGTTGTGTTTTATAATTAAATATGAAAATTGGAATTTATGATTTTGTCGAGTGCTTAGGATTTAATGAATACTTTCTTTCGAAAGTTGGTTTATATAATATTTATATACTTAAGTTAATAATGTAAAGGACTGTGTAAAGGATTCGATTCGGCAGCGTAGTGTGCAACAAATATTTACAATAAATTCAATTATATCTGTTATATATTTAGCCATCGTCTATAAATTACGTAACTCCTGTTCAACTATCATCTCACTTCCTATATCGCTCCGTAATGCCGTAGCACATACCTCCCAAAATCACATAACGCTTCGATCAATCCCCTTAATTGTATGTACTAAGGAATACACAGCACATACCTAATGCTACATTGATTTATTAATTAATGCCAATGGCTATCTCAACACTTAAAATAACTTCAAATGTTGTTAACAATTTTAAGCTTCATATTATAGCAATAAATGACATTCATATTAAAGCAATACGAATTAATTATAAAAATTTGACAAGGAAAATTTAATTAATTCTGATACGAAACAAGGAAACCTAACAATAACTTTGTTTATTGTTTCCCGCTGCTATTGTCGGAAGCGTTTCTTCATGCGAGAAAATTTGATTGTTTTCTTCAGATTGCTCTGAGCTTTAATTAATATAAAATGTAAGTCACAATATTTTAATTACATTTACGATTAACTTAGTTAATAACTATATTGTTTATTGGCAGGTATACGATGTATTTAATGACAATTATCATCATTACGATGACAATAATTTCTGTCGTTTGTTGTCAAGAGATTAACGAGAAATCTCAAATTATCCACAGTCACACGACAATTTGGAATCCCTATCGAAAGAAGACTCTTCACCATCAGAATAAACACTTTCGAAAGACGGACTCCAGCCCACAACTTAATAATAGACTTTATTTACGACAAGTAAAACATTTCTTACGTAATTCCAAAACTAGACAAGAGAACTTCATAAAGACAGACAGAAGCATACGGGAGGAAATGAAATATTTTAATGTTTATCTTGCTTTGATCTTTGTTTGCAGTCTTCTGACGGTCTTGATATGCGCAATTCTCTTCTATTTTATTTTCTATCGTAAAAGAAATTCAATTAGCAAAGAGAATAGACGTGACATAGAAGAGGAAACTGTACGTTTATTGAGTCAATACGAAGAAGAAATTGGCAATGATAACAATATGCGAAAATTCAATACATCTGCACACGACTCTTCCGAAAATTCAGGCCAAATCACACCAATTACAAATTTAATAGAAAATTCAATAATTGTGGAAGATCCCGAAGTAACGATTTCCAGCCATTCATGGACGGAAAATCAAAACGCCGATTCCAATAAGAATCATGTTTCTCAGTCAACAGAAAACACCGAACGACTTATAAATGATATAGAATCAAAATTAAGAGAGATGGAGAATTTGTTGAATCACTTAAAGAACCAAATAAAAATCACTTCATCTATCAATCAGGAAATGAATGTATCCGATCAATCTTTGCGTTCTGCACATAATGCTGAACAAGATGAACACGGTGTGCAAGATGAAAATTTACGAGATAGCTCTAATTCATTAACATCAGAAATAGTTAATCTTCCAGGAGCTGACGATTCTTGCAAGAAAAATTTCCAAGAACAAATCGCAAATTATTACAGTGAAGACGAAAGTCATGCCATGGAAATCGCATCTACAACAGAACTTTGTCGCATTCTGAACCAAGTTGACGAAGATATTTCGTCCGAATTCGATTTCTAAGAAACACGGTCCATCAGAATCTTATTGTAGAAGTAGTTCTAAAACCAGAAGAAAGGGAATTTAAATAAAAATGTTTAAATATTCGACATACCAATCCTAGGAAAGTAATAACGGCTCCATTTACTGAAAATAGCCCAACTTTGCTTCTGCACGAACTTCGCACAAATACGAGACGTGTGAGGAATTGTTTGCTGTAATATCGTTCTAATCACACGATAGTCACCTTGAAAACAAATCAGGGCGACGTCATACGAAGAAATAATATAAAGAAAAGTCTGGTTTACGTTTGCAGATACGTTGAGAGACTTTTAACTGAATTGACAATTTACCTTGAATTCATTCGCCAAATTTTATTAATTTATGCAAATAGATCTGATTTGTAAATTTTAATTACGAAATTCCTTACTTTTATAATTAATAAATACTTAAATAAAATGATCTTTAAATTTTAATCGAACGCATTTTTTAAAATCCTTATTGAACACATTGAACATTCAAAGTTTATGTTAATTATCTTTCCGCCTCGTCAGTCCTAAAAAAGGCCTCTCTTCAATGCCCATTACGAATTCTTCCGGGACTATAATGGTGGCGGCGGCCCAACACTCAGCGCCCTGTAAAATTCCCACAGCTGTCCACTCGGAATCAATCCCGGATCCCCTAGAACTGTTGATTAGTTCCTCGACTATCCGGTCGTGACAATAGATTTTTGTTTTATATTCTCTCTTTCGGAGTATTTATTTTCCGCATACAATTGCTAAAAGGCACAATATAGCCAGTTCCGATTTTCTATTTCTCATTAAACGTGAAATCAAATGCAGTGTGGACTTTCAAAGATTGATTTACCGTCGACTATCAAACGTTTTATAAAATCTGTATTGATTTTAAATAATTATATCAAATAGATTGAAGACTTGATATAATTATCTGTTTAATAAATGGAACTTTCCCTCTTCCTTCCGAATTTCCTTCTTATGGTTGATTTTCTAAATAACAAACTCTAATGATTGAGTTGTTTCCGATATCAATAATTATATTTTACAATTATCTGACCAACTATTATTTTCTACTAATTCTTCGATATCACCCATTCGGGTTTGTAAGTACTGTAAATCGCTATCTTCAGATAATAAAAACCCAATTAGAATGGATAAAAAACAATAGATTGATGTATCAGAATTTTATTCTTTCTATTAATTGGAATTCGTATATTATTGTTCTGACGATCCTCTTACGTCTTCGTAATTTATCAACATAACCGACAAATCAAGAACAAGATATGGTAACATCTCAACAGTTATCATGTTTTTCTCCTAATCTGGGGCGCTCCACGTGTGCAGTTTTTTTTAACAATATTTGATTCTCTTTCCTCTTGTTGTGTACAATGGTGTACATTTGGCAAACACCCATCTCCTTTAATTACGCGAACAATATGAACCCCGACATCTGAAGATATTCGCGTGACAAGTAAATAGGTTTATAAGAACGAATTCGTTCGCCACTAATACAATTAAAAATTCTCTTCTCACTGTGTATAATGGTGTAGTTTTCGCGACTTTTCGTCCCTTATACTGTACACGTAATTAATAAATGGTTCTCTGATGTAGATTCTTTTAGTATTGCTCTTCTTTGTAAGTAATGTAAGTTACAATGAAACTTCCCCAATTCGGACTAGGCTTTTCTCCAATTAGTCCGAATTAGTAAGGTTCTATTTTATTAATTAATATACTTGCTTTCTTTTTCTCTTTTTTTTGCTCTTTCCGCCCTCTAGACACTAAAAGGGCCATTTTAGCAAGCCAATTATGGGTTTGGTCAGGCCCACAATGGGCGGCTGGGTGGTGAGGGACGGGCCCCGACATATCCGGTCGGATCACTTCCGAATAATTTTTGGGGACTTATCGACACGTCCGGATTCAATTTCGGGCCCACCAGAGCGGCAGGCTGTTACCTTGACCGCTCGGCCTTCCGGCCGTCTCCTTACCACAGGATTTGCGCACATGAAGTTTTCCGAGATATCTCTGCTTGTGTAATACTTAAATAGTGGTCCTTTCCCCGTGAAAGAGGTCCTCACGGTAAGCATTTACCTCCTTAGCAGATCGTCCAAGTGTCGTTGTATCCTGTCAAACCAAACCAGAAATATTAGTCGTACAGACAGAAAATTTGATAAATATAAAGCATGGCTTTTCAATTTATCATCAGTTTGGTTTTTTTATTATTTTTATTTTTAACTCTTTTTAACCTACGTTATCTAAGGTGTTTTATTTATGCCTCTGGCGGGTTTTACCATGCTCACAATAGAGAAAGTAGAATAGTGAAGGCCGGGCACTACACATTCAGGATGGACTATTCAAGAAATATTCCTGGGGTTTTCCGAGCGGCAGGACTGGCGGAATCAATAATGGATATGATTTAAAAGTACCTCTTAGTAGTGTCCATGGGATAGAAATAATCGAAAATTATTTTCGTCCAGAGCGCGAACACTCCGTAACCACGGGTCTTTCAGATAAAAGCGCGGCTCTGTTCCACGTAGCTAGCTTTGCAAATTTATTTTAAATAATTATATTGCAGTATATTGAAAAGTATGTTCTTATGCATTTAAGAAAAGGGAGTATTCCAGAAAAAGACGAAGAGAAAATTGTTCAAAATCTATGAATCAGATAGTCATTAACTGCCACGTCATCACATCCACATTTTCGGAAATGTTGACAATATAAATTCATTATATTTATATTTATATTTACAAATCAAATAAATCTAATACCAGAAATTATCTTAAAGATTAAAAAAATTAAGTAAATATTACCGAGAAATTTTACACTGAAAAAATTAAGAAAATAATGAAAAATACACCGAATAATTAAGTGCTGCCAACTACCGATCAATTTTCATTTCTAAACTGGCAACACTAAATTCAAAGTTTGGAAAAGGCTGATCATGTTCACACGTGTTACTTAATACTGCGGAAAAATGAATTTTATTTCGTGTTTATCTTGGATTAAAAGGGGAGTGGCCAAACCAACACCCGAAAAAGTAAGCATTCTATAATTATAGTAACGACAAACATTGCTGTATACGTGTATGTAACAAGTGGTATTTAGTATCAGCTGCATCATCATGGCACGAGTTTGTTATTTGATATTAAGTTCATTTTCATGGTTACTGTAGTGGTTTAACAGATCAAAAATAGTCTCGTTTCCTTTATTACACGTAAATTCGTTAAAATAATATATAAATTCTGGCTTAACACCAATGAGTCAACAGATAAATCACACAGAGATGATTTTGTAACGAGTAATTTTGCAGTTTCAACATTTTTTTTTCTTCAGTGGAAAGAACTTGTACAGGATATTGACAAAAAGTTGCATGAGTGGGTTTCATTATACTTCAAGAGTTTAAGTTGCATCTATATAAGTTCTTATCACTCAATGCTATAGTTTAACCTACTTACATTATTTTTTTTCTTATTATATATATATTTAATTCTTTTATTTTAGTATTACAGCTTTATTTTCTTAAAGTTTGGAAATCATTTAAGGAAAGTGGACAGGATTGTTTCCTGAAAGCAATTACTTGTTTGATTAATCATGTGTATCTCTACAGAATTTTATGTGCTTTATGTTTTTTTTTTATTTTAAAACAACTTAAAAGTCGTAAATTGTTATACAAGTTTTTAAATTTTATTTTGCATTATTAACAGATACAAATCATAGTTACATATGTTTATGGTTTTTGAATGGATGGATAATTTTTGTTTTTGCATGTATATGTTATAAAGTTTAATCAGTTTAAGCTTGGGTTATAATAATAATAATTGGAAACTAAAGTTGAGTGAGTAGTTTAAAAAATTCCGAAATAAAAATCTGACTTGGAGTGGGACTCGAACTTGCAATTTCTGCTTATCTGCCGGTTATGCTACCCACACTTGCATCTGATCTCTTCCAGACATACATGTAGTTTTTATTTTTGATTATTATAAATGTTTATGAGAGAAATTATGATATAAGTATTATAAATGGTGTCAATTCTTATATTTAACTGTTGTAGTTAAAGTGCTTAACTGTTTACTATCACTGAATTAATGAATTTGATATCAAAAATGAGAGATTTAAGGCTCTTTAACTCTCTCTTACAAAAAAGAATAAAAATGAACCAATTTCAAAGCATTATAATCCATAAAACATTCCAATAAAATAAAGTTTTATGGATTATGAAAAATAAATTTAAAAAAAAAAAGTCACTAGCAGTAATAAAACCTAAAAACGTCCTAATAAACAACAGAAGAAAAAAATTTCATGCAGAAGGTAATTTACTAAATTTAAAGTTTTTGTTAGATTGACAACTGTATATAATATGCACATAACCTTAGCCTTAAGATATTAGATACAAGCCTAAACTGTTGGATTATGTTTTAGGCTGTATTAAGGCTAATTTAATTAATTATTTGAATTTGGCCTGTCTTTTAGGATTTTGTAATTAATTAATTTTTAATTATTAATATTTACATATGATAGCAGTGTGACTATCTACTTTAAACAAAATGCTAATAAATAAATACTTAAATTAGTCTTTGTGTAATCAATATTAATCTGAAAGTTTGCCTTGCATATATCAACATGCCTCACAGTTTGTTTTGTTAAAATTTTTATATTTAACTGAGAAAATTACATGGAATCCATAAAAGGATTCCGTGTAATAGGATATATGAAACAGTGGACCAGATTCAAAGGCATTTGTCTGTTAATTTGTAAGAATGAAACACACAAGATAATTGTATCTTGTTAATAATATATTTATCCAAATCTGTAGCATATATTGCCAATTTGTCACTCTCGACACTTTCAAGAAAGCAAATTATTTACAAATTTGGTATAAAAATTGGTTTGAATCATTTTATTGATGATGAAAGTTTTAGAACTTTTCGTTAAAACAATATCTATTTTATATTGTTTTTGTTGAGTGCATAAATTGGATTATGACAAATCACATATTGAAGAATGCTACTGAAAGTACAACAGTTAAGAAACAACATTGGTGTTGGCCAATTATCTATCATAATCATCCTACTTTGCAGTATTTGAAAATAACACTGTAATAGCGCTTAGTAATTCTGCTAGACAGAACATCAGCAGCTATTGTTTACATTCTCTGTGTATTTTAGGTGTTTTGAGCCTATTAGACTCATCTTTAGATACAATATACCCATAGTGGCCAAGCTGCAGCTCTTCTAAACCATTAATGTGGGTCCCATACAGACTACTTAATATAGTTTCTTTTTATTAACTGAACTTTTTCTATTAGAACAGTATTATATAATGTGATGCATATTTCTAGTAAGTAATATATGATTCCTATCAAGATAAGGTTTGCAACCTCTGCAATATATCTGCAATAAATAGACCCATATTATTGGAATTGCACTTATTTTTCTATGTATGTAACGTGGAATCCGAAAAATGACATTCTTATTTAAAAGTGTGATGTTTATTTCACATATATTTACTAGAATGTGGGCTGTTTATATTTCTTATAATTTTTATAAAGATTGTTTTGTAGTTACTGATTGTATCTTTGAATTCAACAATCATTCAGCATTATCAGATTGGCTCATTTATTAGTCTGCTATATCAAGTCGGCAGCTGCACATACAAAAGAAATAGTGATAAGTTAGAATGTTAATTTAAAAAGAATAAAATAAAATTGAATTTTCTGTTTATCAGTGAAATACCAATTTATATAATTGCTTAATCTACAAAACAATTGCCAGTCGCAGAAAAAGTTAACAAGATTGATTTATTTCAATTATTACCACACTTTTCATGTAATTTAAAAAATTACAGTTTTAAAATAGAATTTGAGCGATAGCCAATTTAAAAATAAATTGCATCGATTGAAATAGTATCTTTAAGTACTTTAAAAAGATATTTTTAATACGCTTCGTTAATACAAAATAACGTTAGTTTTATATTATTTAATTCGACTATTTTGTTAAATTAAACTATTTTAATATACAAAATGATAATTTGTTTCATAACTGGAGTGTAGAAAGAATTTTTTTTTAATGTTGAAATTCCCGATTCCGAAAAATCTAAATCATGATTATTTTAAACCGATATTTTGTTTTGTCCATCAAAAATAAATGATAAAGCAAATATTTCAGGAATTAATATCATAAACAATAATGCAGAATTCAAATATCAGTTTGTTATTACGAATGGATCAAAAAATTGCTACTTTTCTTCTTTGTTAAAGATTATAATAAGTGAACGTTCACTCTACTAGTGCTTTTGAGTTTTATAACCCATAGGGCCTTCATTTAATTAAGAATACAGTTTAAGTGGGGAAAAGGCTTCACCAAAAGTATATGTAATTGAGTTAGATTTTTAAATTCATATTTATTTGAAAACATATTTTGTATAAAAATTTATTACAGCAGTTCTATTTAGCCTGCATGTCATTTTGCAGCTGTACAAAAATTCAAATTTAATGCTTTCGTATTGCATTTTGGATGCTTGTATTGTTAATTTATTTTACAGTTTGAATATATTCAAAGTTAATTTACAAACTCTTCTCAAACTGCACTTACTTAAAAATAATCACTCTTTACTAACTTTTAACATGTAGTCTATTTTATTAACATAATCTAATGTTTTCAATCAAATTAATTGATCAAACAAACAAGAAATTGATCCTGAAGAAGTTCAATTAATTTGATTGAAAACATTAGATTATGTTAATAAAATAGACTGCATATTAAAGGTTAGTAAAGGGTGGTTAATTTACAAATTATATATACAGTAGAGCCTCGATTATCCGAACCCCGATTAACCAACACCTCGGTTAATTGACCGTCTTAGTCAGCAAATTTCAAATATCCGCTAGTGATGTAGCGATACACTATTTGGCTATGTCTTGGCTACTTTAATATTATTTTTATGTGTTTTAGCTGGCAACACTCATTCGACCATGAAAGGGAGCCAGTATTTAAACGAGGCTTAATTTTCTAATTTTTAACGATACAATAGTGACAATTATTATTTTAAAAAATTTTTGTTAGGCTTAACATCGATGAAAATTCAACGCAAAGTAGGTTAGTAGCGATATACTAATATACTAATTACATGGGATATAATAATATACTACTCTAATAATGGATTTTTTCATACTTTTCGGTTATCTGACTTTTCAATTATCCGACCAACCCCAGTCCCCAATTGGGTCGGATAATCGAGGCTCTACTGTAATTAATGTGTAAATTTAAAAATATGGAAATATGCAGAAAATTATGCTTGTAGTCTTCAATGGTAACAGCACATGAAGAATAAGAATATTTATTTAAATGNATAAATAAAATATCCTTTCTTAGAACAAATTTTTTACTGCTTGAAACAAAATCTGTGCTAATTTATACTTACTGTGATAATTTTAATTATCAATTAATTTCTTTGCAGTATTAAAGCGAAAAAATTTAATGTTATTGTAAGATATTCCATCCATAACATGTGGTCTCTGTATTAATACAGTAATTTTTATCCTGAGGAGTAGATAGCATCTCAAGCTTTGTGTAATTAATTCCTGCTTAGACTGATTATTTCCTTTTAGATTTGTTGTAAAATAATAAGTATTAATTTATGACAACTGCTAATTTATTGTAGTTACAAGCTTGCTAGATATTAAAGTTTTATTTGTGTTTTCTTGTAAAGTTGAAGGAAAATAGGAATAACTGAGCAACCAATTTACATTTTCAACATGCACTGAAAATGTTAAAGACTGATCTTCACCTTCTACAAAATATTTGAAACCTTCTTTAATTGTGAACTACATTCAAGTAATGAACAAACATAAGTCCCAAGTATTTTTGAGCCTCTTGGTTTGTTGTCGGAGATATGTACTTAATAGGATTGTATATTTTGTGACGAGTAGACATTCCTGATGATGAGCCAAGAGGCTTAAAAGTATTCAGGACTTCTGATCTATTTATGTTAATTATTGATTCTCCAATAAAGCAGGTTTTAGATATTTTTTGGCTTATA